GGAAAAAGAATATATGGAGCTATTTTTGCAGCTGCAATTTATAATTATTTATAATACAAAACGTTTTTAATAAAACCAATACATTTAAAGTGTTACTAAACCCACAACAGTAAAATCAGTCTGTATATGCAGTAAAGCATGCTTGTTATACTCACAGTGGAACCTAAGGGTTTAATCCACTGCATTGTATAAAAATGCAGTTTGATCCTGTCTTCTCTGATCCTCCCCTTTTTTCAGTGCCCCCCTCTTATCTCCTGATACGACATATTGTGTGAAGACACTCTGCACATGCTCAGTTTGGTGTGTATTGCTAGAGACATTTTTCTTTTTTCTTGGGAGAGTGCATGTGATCAGCACATAGCCAGTCAGCACTGTCCACACAGAGGTCAGGGGTTCTGCATTCCGCTAGATCAGAAAGAAATCTCCTCCTACAAGCTTTAACCAGTGTTCTGCTGAACACTGATAGAAGTCACTTGATCGCTACTGCATATATTGCTGATGAGAAAAGGTATTTAGCAGTTTATAGTTACAAAAATAATTGCATTTCCATGTTGTGTGTACTGTGGGAGACCAGATATAGTGAATGCAGGGTCCGGGGAGAGCGGATATAGTGAATGCAGGGTCCAGGGAGAGTGGATATAGTGAATGCAGGGTCCAGGGAGAGCGGATATAGTGAATGCAGGGTTCGGGGAGACCAGATATAGTGAATGCAGGGTCCGGGGAGACCAGATATAGTGAATGCGGGGTCCAGGGAGAGCGGATATAGTGAATGCAGGGTCCAGGGAGAGCAGATATAGTGAATGCGGGGTCCGGGGAGACCAGATATAGTGAATGCAGGGTCCAGGGAGAGCGGATATAGTGAATGCAGGGTCCAGGGAGAGCAGATATAGTGAATGCAGGGTCCGGGGAGACCGGATATAGTGAATGCAGGGTCCGGGGAGACCGGATATAGTGAATGCAGGGTCCAGGGAGACAGGGTCCAGGGAGACTGATGATATATGCAGGGTCCAGGGAGAGTGGATATAGTGAATGCAGGGTCCAGGGAGAGTGGATATAGTGAATGCAGGGTCCAGGGAGAGTGGATATAGGAATGCAGGGTCCGGGGAGACCAGATATAGTGAATGCAGGGTCCAGGGAGAGCGGATATAGTGAATGCAGGGTCCAGGGAGAGAGTGAATGCAGGGTCCGGGGAGACCGGATATAGTGAATGCAGGGTGATATGCAGGGTCCAGGGAGACTGGATATAGTGAATGCAGGGTCCAGGGAGAGTGGATATAGTGATGCAGGGTCCAGGGAGATGGATATAGTGAATGCAGGGTCCGGGGAGACCAGATATAGTGAGTGCAGGGTCCGGGGAGACTGGATATAGTGAATGCAGGGTCCGGGGAGAGCAGATATAGTGAATGCAAGGTCCGGGGAGACCAGATATAGTGAATGCAGGGTCTGGGGAGACCGGATATAGTGAATGCAGGGTCAGGGGAGACCGGATATAGTGAATGCAGGGTCCTGGGGAGACCAGATATGGTGAATGCAGGGTCCTGGGAGAGCAGATATAGTGAATGCAGGGTTCGGGGAGACCAGATATAGTGGATGTGGAGTCCGGGGAGACCGGATATAGTGAATGCGGGGTCCGGGGAGAGCGAATATAGTGAATGGAGGGTCCGGGGAGAGCAGATATAGTGAATGCAGGATCCAGGGAGACTGGATATAGTGAATGCGGGGTCCGGGGAGACCAGATATGATGAATGCAGGGTCCTGGGAGAGCAGATATAGTGAATGCAGGGTTCGGGGAGACCGGATATAGTGGATGTGGAGTCCGGGGAGACCGGATATAGTGAATGTGGGGTCCGGGGAGACTGGATATAGTGAATGCAGGGTCCGGGGAGAGTGGATATAGTGCAGTGGGGGTTATTAGGACTAAGGGGCTGTCTCAGGCTCTCATTCAGAGAACCCAACTATGCCTCCCCTTTCTGCTTGAAGGAATGAATCTAGGACAGGCAGATGATTGATGGGTCGCCCCCCCCCCCCCCCATTCATAGATCCTGCTTCATTCATAGAAGCATTCTATGAACAGAGAAGCTGGCTGGAAAGGATGGGCAGAGTCGGGATCTCTTGATGAGAGCCTGTGAAAGCCCAATAACCCCTCCTGCAGCAAATGAGGGGGGCATTGACAGAGGAGGGTTTCACCTAAAAAAAGAGCCATCATCTTAAATGACACCATCTTAAAGGACACGTCATACAAACTGTTATTTATGTCGTTTGTTGATGAACTTAGGCTTTACATTTTTTTTTTAAAAAGTAGAAAATAAAAAAATAAACAAATAAATAAATATATATATATAATTCAGTTCAAACCCTATAATTGTTTGTGCTCTTGTGTTAGGTATCCATTATTAGGTTTTTGTGGTCATTAATCATTTTATTTCATTTCAGTCAGTTTGAAGAAATATGCTTTGAGTTAATCCATGAAAAAAAGTGTATAAAGGACAAATAAAAATATTTCATGAAGCAACCAGTAAGCTTGTTAAAAAAAAAGTGCCATTTTTTTGCCCTTGGCTTTACAAATAAATATTTTGTGGTACAGAATGCATTAATCACATCTCTAAAAATAAGATTGCTTTTAACATGTTAAAACACCATGTACCCTATTTGCCAAGTTCGAGGTCCACCCAACTTGCCAAAAGAAAGCTGAATTCCAAGTAAACAACTGAATTCAACGTTAAAGTGTATTTATGGAAGGGTGGAATTATATGGAAATTGTTTTACCTAACAAAAGATTGGTAATTTTCCCAGTTAGTGCCGGACTAGATTAAGGCAAGGAGTTCTGTGCTTTGGCTCCCTGATGGAGAAAGTCTACATCATTTCTGAGATTGCTATTCCTATTTAACTGCGGGGGGTACCATTTATTGCTCCCACTGGAGAAGATAGATTTTTGGTACACATCTCCTAAGCCGTATTGGTCCTAAACGTATAGACTGAAAGAAGGTTTGCACCTTGTTAGAGTGAAAAAAAAAGAGTTAATGAAGAATTGTTGGTGTGCTGCTGTAACTGAGAACAGTTCTGCTGAAGGGAAGTTATGTATTTTCTCTATGCGTTCCTATGCACAAAGAAATGTCCTGTGTATGTGACTAGAGAAAGAACAGCTGAGAGCCGGGACAGTATGTGACATGGGCAGGGGCGGACTGACAACTCATGGGGCCCCCGGACAATAGGGGATCATGGGGCCCCTGTGTCCTTGTCCAAACTCAAAAAAGCCTATGAAAAAGGTACCAGGGGCATCTCATGGGGCCCCCTACTGACCCCGGGCCCTCGGGCAGTGCCCGAGTTTCCAAATGGTCAGTCCGCCCCTGGGCCCCTGTGTCCTTGCCCAAACTCAAAAAAGCCTATGAAAAAGGTACCAGGGGCATCTCATGGGGCCCCCTACTGACCCCGGGCCCTCGGGCAGTGCCCGAGTTTCCAAATGGTCAGTCCGCCCCTGGGCCCCTGTGTCCTTGCCCAAACTCAAGAAAGCCTATGAAAAAGGTACCAGGGGCATCTCATGGGCCCCCTACTGACCCCGGGCCCTCGGGCAGTGCCCGAGTATCCAAATGGTCAGCCCGCCAATTGAACTTTCTTTTGTTGCTATTTAAAAAAAAAAGCCTGACAATCTTGAGAAAAAAAAAAACAATATTTTTGACTTTTTGAAATTTCATTATTTAACTTTTTTACTGCACATAAATAATAATAATTTAATAATAATTTAATAAAATATGTTCAGTCAAAAATTTAAAAAAAAATCTAATTTTGTCATAAATTTAGGCCAAAATGTATTCTGCTCCATGTCTCTGCTAAAACAAAATCCCAATACGTGTAAATTAATTGGTTTATGTGAAAGTTATAGTGTTTACAAATGGCGGTATAGATACTGGAATTTCTTTTTTTTTTTTAACTAGTAATGGCAGTGATGAGCGACTTATAGCGGGACTATGACAGGCATTCTGACACTGGGGGGGGAAATGATTTGGTGTCACTGACATCCCCAGTGACACCAATACAGTGATCAGTGCTAATAAAAAGCAAAAAAGCACTGACACTGCACTAATGGCACTGGGAAGGAAAAAAAATTAAACACGTCCAGTAAAAATATCAAAATTCTTCATAAATTTCTGCCAAAATGTATTCTGAGACATGTCTTTGCTAAAAAAAATCCCAATACGTGTAAATTAATTGGTTTACGTGAAAGTTATAGTGTTTACAAATGGCGGTAGAGATACTGGAATTTTTTCTTTTACTAGTAATGGCGGTGATCAGCAACTTATAGTGAGACTGTGGGACTGCAGCGGGCATTCTGACAATGGGGGGAACTGACTTGGTGTCACTGACATCCTCAGTGACACCAATACAGTGATCAGTGCTAATAAAAAGCACTGACACTGTACTAATGACACTGGGCAGGAAGGGGTTAACATGAGGGGTGATCAAAGGGTTAATTGTGTGCAGGGAGTGTTTTACTAGGGATCCATGTCAGTGTGCTTCACTGTAAGCACACTGTAAGCACAGCCATCCAAAGCAGTGTGCCCGAGCTGACAGGGAGGAGAACTGTTAGTATACAAAACCTCCTCCTTGTCGGAGATGCTCGGTAATCACCAGGTGCCAGCGGGAAATCACTGGTTGGGAATCGGTGATTGACAGCCGCAGCAGCTCAGGAAGTGATAATAACATTGCATTTCTGGAAAGATCTACAGGTATTTTCTGTACTTGCTAAAAATGTCCTTAGCCTGAAAAGAAAAAACTAATGCAGCCACCACATCTAAGGACTGGTTAGCCACAATGTAAAAAATAAAAACTGCTGGGTTTGGTAATCCGTCAATTCATATATACTGTAAATGAGAGATGGTCAATGCGCACAATTATAAATACCTAATACGTTATTCTGGATTAATGGCTTTCCCACCGCTCTATAGCAGATATACTGCTACAAGGTAGCAGGGGTGCGCAAAATCATGTACAGTATATACACGTGATTTTGCATTTCCAGGTAGGGGGCGCGCTGCCAATCACCGGGTCCCGGCCTGTGATTACTCGCCAGCACCCGGTGATAGTGGAGTATTACCAAAGGAGGGAAAGAACTGTAAGTAAACAATACAGTTCTCTCCCCTGTAAGCTCCTGCAGACTGCTTTGCATGGCTTTGCATAGCAGAGCCATGCAAAGCAGTGTGCTTACAGTGAAGCACACACAGCACACAGTTAACCTTTTGATCGCCCCACATGTTAACCCCTTCCTGCCCAGTGCCATTGCTACAGTATCACTGCTTTTTATTAGCACTTGAATATTGGTGTCACTGGGGATGTCAGTGACACCAAGTCCATTCCCCCCGGTGTCAGAATGCCCGCTGTAGTCCCGTTATAAGTCGCTGATTGCCGCCATTACTAGTAAAAATGAAAAATTTAAAAAAATCCCAGTATATATACCGCCATTTGTAAACGCTAAAACTTTCACGTAAAACACTTAATTTACACATATTGGGATTTTTTTCAGCAAAGACATGGAGCAGAATACATTTTGGCCTACATTTATGACAAAATTTGATTTTTTTCATTTTTTTACAGCAAAAAGTCAAAAATATTTATTTATTTCAGGTACTTATATAGTGATGTCAATTTTATGCAGCGCTTTACATATATATTATACATTCACATCAGTCCCTCACCCTCAAGGGGTGTACAATCTAAGGTCCCTAACTCACATTCATACATATACTAGGGCCAACTTAGACAGGAACCAATTCACCTACCAGCATGTCTTTGAAATGTGGGAGGAAACCAGAGTACCCGGAGGAAACACACACAGGCACAGGGAGAACATGCAAACTCCAGGCAGGTGGTGCTGTGGTGGGGATTCGAACCAACGACCCTAGTACTGCCAGGCGGAAGTGCTAACCATTTAGCCACTGTGCTGTCTATAAATATAGTTTTTTTCTCAAAATTGTCAGGCTTTTTTTTTTTATAGTGCAAAAAATAAAAAATGCTGAGGTGATCAACTACCACCGAAAGAAAGCTCTATTTGTGGGAACACAAGGATGTAAATTTAATTTGGGTGCAGCGTTGCATGACTGCGCAATTGTCAGTTAAAATAACGCAGTGTCGTAACGCAAATAATGGCCTGGTCAGGAGGGCGAGGGGTTAAATATTGCTGCTATTACATCTTATGAAAAGTATCGGCAGTGAACTGCAAATTCACCTACCAGCCTGCTCCCTTTGCCTGTGCGATTAAAGCGATAAATCACATTGAGTGACTCCGTGTCCTCTAAGCGGGTCAGAGGTCAAATGAGACCATAATTCCAGGCCTCATAAAATATGGCAGACCCTCACAACAGGTGTCTACCCCCCCAAAGCCAATTGACAACTATTTTATTACTTCACAAGTAAGTTAATGGTTGGTTCCTCTGCAAGCTCCACGGCTCGGGAAGACTTTTCTAGATTGTTTTAATTAAAAGCATTAACTCATTTCACATGCGGTTTAAAGAAGTGTGTTCATAATAAAGAGCTGGATGGTGCAAACCCTACTATTCATGGCAGACAGCCTGTAAATCTGTTAGCATCTCCAGATGTACATATATTTCCCACACCAACTTCACCATGGTTGGAACCAGAGTTTCTGTTACTACAAAGTGTAAATCAGTGGAGACCAGGGGCGGACTGACACCTCATGGGGCCCCCGGGCAATAGGGGATCATGGGGCCCCTGTGTCCTTGCCCAAACTCAAAAAAGCCTATGAAAAAGGTACCAGGGGCATCTCATGGGGCCCCCTACTGACCCCGGGCCCTCGGGCAGTGCCTGAGTTTCCAAATGGTCAGTCTGCCCCTGGTGGAGACAACGCATATTTTCCATACATTCTGAGTCTAGGTTCACACCTATGCAGGTTGTGTTTGATGCGTTTCTGCCTTGCGTTTTCATTTTGCGTCTTTTGTTTCTTTTTCTTTAATTTTACTTGTTGCTAAACAGATTGAAAATACAAAACACTTAAAAAAACTTGACAAAAACGTAATACATGCTTTTCTGCAGCGTTCCCATTGAAGTCTATTTTTTGCACTTGCATTGTTGCCGCATTTTTGATGCATTTTGAATTTTTTTCTTTTTTCAAGTTTCCTTGTTGCTAGGCAGATTTAAAATGCAAAACACATCAAAAAGCGACAAAAACTCAGCAAAAATGCAATACATGCTTTTCTGCAGCATTCCCGTTGTCTATAGAACCAAAAAAGCAATGTTTTACATTAAAAAAAACTCCCTGACCCTTTCCAAAAAAACGCTCCGGGTGAAAACGCAGAGATGTCCCAAAGGAAATCATGTTAAATGGACTGTACTGCATTGCTGCAAAAACACAAAATACTGCAGAAAACTTTTTGCGTTTTTGCCGCATTTTTGATGGTTTTTTTTCTTTAATTTTTCTTGTTGCTAAGCAGATTTAAAATGCAAAACACATCAAAAACGCGTCAAAAACGCAGCAAAACCGCAATACATGCTTTTCTGCAGCATTCCTATTGGAGTCTATTTTTTGCACTTGCATTTTTGAATTTGCTTTTTTGGCGCAATTTTGATGCGTTTTTGTTTTTTTTTTTCTTTAATTTGTCTTTTTGCTAAGCAGATTTAAAACGCAAAACACATAAAAAATGCAACAAAAATGCAGCAAAAACGCAATACATGCTTTTCTGCAGCGTTCCCATTGGAGTTTATTTTTTGCACTTGTATTTTTGACGCATTTTGTATGCATTTTGCGTTTTTTTTTTTTTCTTTAATTTTTCTTGTTGTTGCTAAGCAGATTTAAAATGCAAAACGCATCAAAAACGCGACAAAAACGCAGCAAAAACCCAATACATGCTTTTCTGCAGCATTCCCATTGGAGTCTATTTTTTGCACTTGCATTTTTTGAACTTGCATTTTTGGTGCATTTTTGATGCGTTTTGTGGGTTTTTTTTTTCTTTAATTTGTCTTGTTGCTAAGCAGATTTAAAATGCAAAACACATAAAAAATGCAACAACAATGCAGCAAAAACGCAATACATGCTTTTCTGCAGCGTTCCCATTGAAGTTTATTTTTTGCACTTGCATTTTTGCCGCATTTTGTATGCATTTTGCTTTTTTTTTTCTTTTTCTTTAATTTTTCTTGTTGCTAAGCAGATTTAAAACGCGAAACACATAAAAAATGTGACAAAAATGCTTGAGTGTGAACCTAGGGTGAATGTGAGCAATGGAAGCTTTTTTTATGTAAGTTGCTTTTTGTTTCCAGATATTGACCATCCATTTGAAAACTCGGGCAGTGCCCGAGGGCCCGGGGTCAGTAGGGGGCCCCCTGAGATGCTCCTGGTACCTTTTTCATAGGCTTTTTTGAGTTTGGGCAAGGACACAGGGTCCCCATGATCCCCTATTGCCCGGGGGCCCCATGAGTTGTCAGTCCGCCCCTGTATGTATATATATATACCTAAGCCATATCTCGATCAAGCGATGTGCAGGTCGATGTGTCTCTGCTTTCTCGCTCATTGACTCAGATACAGTCAATCAGAGCCAGTGACGAGGGAGCAGGGGCAGGGCCAAGCCCCGCTCTGTGTGTCTTATGGACGCACAAAGCAGGGCTCTGGAGCGAGCATGCACACGAGCCCCCCTGAGCAAGCGGCCTGCTATGGAGGCACTCAGCATGGGGGCGGAGCCAGGAGCACCAACAGGAGACCCGAGAAGAGAAGGATCCAGGCTGCTCTGTGCAAAACCACTGCACACAGCAGGTAAGTATGACATGTTTGTTATTTTAATAAATTAAAAAAATAAACCCTTACAATCAGTTTAATGCATTCTCTGTATTAAAGTTAAAAAAACGATTAATAGCAGATCTCCCACAGCCCTCCTAATTACCTACCTGAACCTAATTTTGATCCAGTGCTGTGCATTTCTGCAGCAGCTCTTTTCCCATCTACCTGCTCTCACAGGTAATTGGTTCCTGCTGCTGTCTGTCAAAACCTGAGAGCAGCAAGCGGGGATTGGGCCAAGCTAGGTCATATGTCTGAATAAATGCAAACAACGTGACTTGGGATCGAGCACTCATGAGTGCCCCCATAGGAAGCTGCTTCCTATGGGGACACTTGGCAGGGAGAAGGGTGGAGAGGGAGCCAGGAGTGGGGGCAGGGGCGGACTGACAACTCATGGGGCCCCCGGGCAATAGGGGATCATGGGGCCCCTGTGTCCTTGCCCAAACTCAAAAAAGCCTATGAAAAAGGTACCAGGGGCATCTCATGGGGCCCCCTACTGACCCTTGGGCAGTGCCCGAGTTTCCAAATGGTCAGTCCACCCCTGGGTGGGGGGTCACAGAAGAGAAGGTTTGGGACCACTATGTGAAAAACTAGAGCAGGTAAAGGGCAGCACAGTGGCTAAATGGTTAGCACTTCCATCTGGCAGTACTAGGGTTGTTGGTTCAAATGCCAACTACGGAACAACCTACCTGGAGTTTGCATGTTCTCCCTGTGCCTGCATGGGTTTCCTCCGGGTACTCCAGTTTCCTCCCACAATCCAAAGACATGCTGGTAGGGTAATTGGATCCCTTCTAAATTGTCCCTAGTATGTGTATGTATGAATGTGAGTTAGGGATCTTAGATTGTACACCCTTGAGGGTTAGGGACTGATGTGAATGTACAATATATATGTAAAGCACTGCATAAATTGACGGCGCTATATAAGTACCTGAAATAAATAAATAATAGGTAAGTATAACATTATTATTATTTTAATAGAAAAAAAAAACTTTAAAGCTTTAGAATCACTTTATTGTGTGTTGCATTCATTTGATTGCACACCAAATGCATCACGATAGACATCAGATCATACCTACTGCAGTTTTTGGTTTCCAGCGCACAGCAGTGCAGGGAGTACCTTCCCGTGTTTTGCAGTGTGCTGCAATATAGGTGAGTTCTGAAGATGCACTGGACTGCCAATCACCGCAGTAAAACAATGAGCCCATACTGCAATGCAATGGTGTGAATGGTCCCTCAAGGATGCTTTGGCCAGGGCTCTGGACCTGTAATAGCATTTAGCTTTCTAGCTCCTGTAGCTAGCACTTTTTCTCTGAATTGCTTCAGCCTGCTTGGCCCGTTGCCTGGACACAGATTAAAAGCTTCTTGAGGGCAGGGACTGATGTGAATGTACAATATACTGTATATGTAAAGTGCTGCATACATTGTCAACAGAATATACAGTAAAAACCTGCAATTAGTAAATAAATAATTGCCTGGAAATTGCCTGAATTACACATTATGCCACTATCAGCCACCAGCCTTGACCCCTCTGACTGTACCAGCCAGTCAGAAGACCAGAACCAGATCTGTACTGGAAGTACCAAGATCAGGGGCGGACTGACCATTTGGAAACTCGGGCACTGCCCGAGGGCCC